GGTTCAAAGGTTGAGAAAACGTCGTCGTTGTACCAGGGGGCCGTCTTGAACTTTATTCGAACTTTAGGTTTTGGGGGGGTCGAACTCGAACTTCTGATTCTCCCTCTGCCCGAACCCAAGCCCGAACTTAAATTCTTTCTCAGGAAAGACCGTCCCTCCCCCCATCAGCGGTTTTACAACCCTGGGCCCCCTTGTGAGAGCAGAAAGTTCACGGCGTCCTCCCTCGAGTCGGTTGGGAGGGGAGGGGGGCGGCCGCTGCCCGGTGGGCTGTGCCCTGCGAGGACCAGCTGGGCAGGAGCGTGAACCGGCTCCAGGACTCTGGGAAGAGATAGTGGGCGGAGGAGGAGGAAGAAGAGGAGGAATGAAAGGTGCCCGTACCGCTACCCTTCGCCCGCTTCCCCCTTCTTCGCCCTCCTGGGAGGCCCTCGTCGCCACCGCTGGATTCGCCTCGAGATCCTGGTGGCCAGAACGCACCCCAGGAGAGGTCCGTGGAGCAGCGGTATCTGTGCCTCTTGGTTTCCCCAAAATGCCGACTAGACGTAAGAGTGACCTTTCGCTGGAGTTACCCTTGAAGGCAGGCTCGGCGGGGTCCCCCCGATCGCCGAGCGCGAGTCGGTAGCAGCGGCTTGCCGGCCCAGGTTTGGCCACCCCGCGTCCCCCGTTTAAGTTACGCACCGAATGTCACATAATGTCACTCTTGCCCGGGGTCGCTCTTGCGTGTAGCCGGTAATGACGCAAGCAGGAGCTTTCGGAGGTCCGTGCGGACTTCTCGGATCGGCGTTGGAGGCCTTCTGGCGCCCCCTTCCAGCGCCAGTCCAAGGGATCAGTGCGGGCCTCCGCAAGTTTTATGTCTTGTGCCGTTCGTTGCTCCTCGGAGGACGTGACCAGCGTCATCAGCCGCGAGATCACGTCGCAGAACCAGGCCTCCCATCGCAGCACCCCCGCCGCGCGAGCGCGGGGCGGGTGGGCAGGAGAGGTCGTGGTCAAGGGAGGGAAAACCACCCTGACCCGATAACCAGCGTTTACTCAACGGTCTTGGGCGTTTATCAGATAGCCCTGGCCTGTTCAGTTCCTCTTTTGGGCGCGTTTGCTAAACGGCTTTGCGTGTCGGGGTGGGGGTGGATTTTCGGCTCCCTATGAGAGGGTGTGGGATCACCATGGCTGGGGCCACGAGACCTTCCAGATCGCGTGGCCCAATCTTTAAGTCGAGCCTGTCCTTTTACAGAAGGAACATTCACAACATACTTTTAAACATAGTGGGTGGACGATGTTTTAATCATGTTTCGATTATGTTTGAGTATGTTTAGACATTTTTGATTCTTTCGGCCAGAATCCGCCTGTAGGGGGACCTGCCCGACCTAACCCAATCTCCCTCTTCCCAGGCGCTCCCTGGCCCCCGTTCCCGTTCGTCCACCCACCTGCCTTGGGTCATGATGCGCACCCCTCCTCCTGCGGCGAGGCGGCTGCAGGAGCACCACGGCTCGTCGCCGGGCAGGATGGCGCCTGGCCCGCCCGAGCTGCGCGTGCTGCGGGGCCTCGAAGTGCCGTGCTCGGGCTGCTCGCGCGGCAGGGCCAACAACTGGGCTCCTTCTCATCACGTGCTCTTGCGGGAGGTCGGCTCCGCGGCGCGCGGTCGATGCTGCCAGGCAGGCGGATCAGGACCTTCGTGCCCAGGGGGGGCCCCGTCCTCCTGCACGGGCAGGCGCTGCCGCCTCAGGAAAGCTGGTGCGGAAACCTGGCCCGTGGTCCAAGGAGTACGCCGGCGGCTTGGAGGGGCACACGCGGGCTCTCGCGAAGCAGGTGGCCAGCCTCACGCAGCACCCATCGTCGACACCTTCAGGAGGCCCTGCGGCAGGCGGAGGCGGCAGCACCAGGAAGGAGCAGGACGACTGCGACAAGCACATCTTCCACCTGAAGACGATGCTGCAGGATAAGATCAACTACCATGAGAAGGCCCTCAGAGAGTGTGGCAAGGTGGAGGAGGACGGCGGGCCGCTCCATTTTCTTCACCAGAAGGCCCTGGAGGAACTTCGGGGCCAAGCTCACGCTCTGCGGCGCCCAGGTGCCGCTTACAAGGCGACGACGCAGAAGCTGGCGAAGTGCAGGCGGCAGTTCGACATGTACGAGGCCGACCTCAAGAGCCTGCAGGACCAGCTCGCCAGCATCAACCAGTATATCACCGATAATCAGGAGGCGATCACCGCCAAGAGGGCCGAGGTGGAGGTCTTCCAGGTTCCGGCGGACAGGCAGGAGTGCGCGCTGCTGGAGGCTCGTGGTGAGCAGCCGACTGTGCAAGCGAAGCTGGCCAGCCTCACGGCGAAGGACCTCATCGCGTTCGACATCGACGACGACAAGCATTTGGTGCAAGCGCCTGAAGCTAAGGAGGCGCTGGCGGCGTTCAAGGCCAGCCCCCACTTCGCCAGGATCCAGCAGGCCCCCACTTCGCCAGGATCCAGCCCCCACTTCGCCAGGTCGACGGGCACCTGGCTTCGGTGGCTGCTGCAGCTCCCGTGCCTTGGCCTCGTGATGATGACGATGACGATGCTGCCGACGGAAGTGCGTCCCCACCAGACGGACCCCACAACGGCAGCGGCGACGTCATGCAGCAGGACCCACCCCCGAGTCGTGCCGACAAACGCGGCGCCATGGAGGTGCAGCTGGTGGAGTTCGCCAAGGAGGACGGCGAGGCTCTCTGGACCATCCTCAGCCAGCAAGCTCAGCCAGCTTCGGAGTGGACCAAGGAGCAGCTCCAGGCCGCCGTCGTTAGTGGCCGGCACATCAAGCACCGAAGGACGGAGGGAGGATCTGTTCGTATTGGTGGATCGGTTGGGCGACGCGAAGCCATGCGTCAGCGGGATCAACAGCCACGGGCCCAGGTCCCTCGCGCAGGACGCCCCCACCTTGTTCACGACGATGCACAC